AAGTTAAAGCAATAATAGATTCTCTTCAATACAAATTTACTGACTTTCAAACCAAATGTGAATATAATCCTGATACAATTTTTATATCTTCATCTTCCTCAAGTATCCAATCAATAAAGAAACCCATAATCACAATTTATCCTCCAAAATCACCCAATAAATATCTTCCTCCACAATCACCTTTTAAAGATTTTACTCCATCATCACCCAATAAAGATTTTCCTCCACCACTACCCATAACAGATGTTCCTCAATAACCAACCACAACAAATGTTCTTTCACCACCAGCAGTCAATACAGATATTATTCAACCACCATGAATATCAAAAGTTTAGCCATTACAGAATACTTCCAAGCATGTCATCCAATACCAACCACATAAATAAAAAAGAAAAAGAGATGATAATAAAAAAAACTGAAAGACAAGATATGGTACTAAAGACCCAGGAGGTTATTTCTATTGATAATAAAAAAAATTGAAAGACCAGATATGGTACTAAAGACCCAGGAGGTTATTTTTATTGATAGAGTAAAAATTGAACCTCGACCTACACAGCATATGGAATATCCAGGGAAGGATTTCCTAACTACTGAGCAACAAAGTTTTATGAATGAATATTTTAGAAAATTTGATAAAAAGTAAGTTAAGTCACTGCTAGCCCTTTAAGTACGCTTTACGTGTGTTTTAAGTGCGCTTTAAGTAGGAACGATTTAATATAATTTTTTTTTCTTTTTTATAGGGACGACTTAATATTTGCATATGGTAATATAACAATAAACATATCAGATATTGATGATCTGCTCACAAATCAATGGTTCGGTGACAACCATGTATATGCTTTTGCTTGTTTATTATTAGAGAAGAGTAGGCTAAAGATAGAGAAATATCAACGATACTTGTACATTTCTCTATTGTATAAGGTATTATTTATAATCTATTTATAACATTACTTTCCTTATATTGCTAACTTATTGCAGGTATATAAGGGGCACAATCAAGAATTCCAAATGTTTTTTCAACACATTAATCCAGATTCTGTTAAAGAAAGCAATCTTATTATTCAACCCATAATTTTCAATAAGTATTGAGTACTTATTATAGGAAGGTTGAAAGAGAAAGTATGAAAATTGTATGATTCCTTACCAAATCAAGAACACAACGATATATATAATAAAGTTGTAAGTTAAATCCAGATTTTAAGCATCTTATTTTCCTTTCTCAATATGAACACAAAATAAAATAATAGTTTTATTTATTCAGATAAAATACTTGCATAAAGACACTAAAGGATGCTTTACTAGCGATATAATAAAATAGAATTTACATACTATTCGTGGAATTCTAACTCAGTCAAATGATGTTAATTGTGGAATATTCATTTGTAAATACATGGAGAAAGTCGTTCTATAAAGCAAAGTGGACTGGTCTTTTTATAAACATTGGCAAAAGTATATGTCAAAATTTAGGGTAGAGTTAGCTTCTTTTCTTTTTCCTATTATGAAGAAGTAAAATTATAAAAAACATAGAAAATTTTATACATGAGTTGTAAATCTGAATATTTTAGTATTTAAATGTTAATATAAAGTTTTTGTTTGTTTTTGTAACTTTTGTATATGTGTTATAAATCTGAACATTTTAGTATTTAAATGTTAATTTTGTACATTGTTTTATAAATCTTGAAAGCGCGCTGAAAGTGCAACAAAAGCCCACTGAAAATGCAACAAAAGCGCAACCAAAGCGCACCTAAAACACAACAAAAGCTCAAGTAAAGCACAAACAAAAAACATCCGAAGCGCATCCAAAGCTCAAAGTTAAATAATCCTTGTTGAAAGCTATTGACCACTTTCTCCTTATCTTATAAAGATTCTGCAACCATTAATGGTTATGAAGGTTCCCTTTCTTGATCATTTCAGCCCATGCCTCCTCAAACACTTCCTTAAAATCACACCTCATCATACACTTATAGAAGAGTCCTTTGGCTTTATTGTTTGTATTAAAGATATATACTTTTGATGGAAACTTTTAAAAACATGTTATTGGCATAATCTATGACGAGTGTGAGATAATGCATCTTCTATGGCCCTGACCATAGCTTGGTCCTGATCAGTGAATATTTTTGTTGGATATTTATTACCCATTATTCGTATAAATGTTTTAAACAACCATGTAAAACTTTTAATTGTTTCTTCTGACAAAAAAATAACCCCTAACAAAATATTCTGCCAATGATTGTTAACACTAATAAATGGTGCACATACAAAATTATACTTGTTGAGCCTATAACTAGTATAAAAAATTAACACATCTCCAAAACATTCATAATCTATTCTGCCTCTTCCATCAATCCAGAAAAAAAAATTAACAATCTATATGCTCATCATTTTGAATATCTCATGCAAACATGGGGCCCTCAACTTGTTGATCTTTAAATAATTGAATCAAAGAATTAGTGTCACCAAATTCAATCTTCGCCCTTTTCTCATTTTGAATAAAATTATAGGCATCCCTCTTAGAGATTCCAACATTCCATATCTTCCAACTTCCTCTATAAGATAGACATATGCATCAATGGTTTTAATCCCTGCATCTATCATTGATTTTAGGATGGAACCTTTTTCCTCAACAACATTCTTACATGATCTCAGAAGGTGTTAGTTGGCTAGGCTAGCCAATTCATGGTTGTGGGATTCAATAAATCTTTTGACATGCCAATAACTATCTTCATCAACTGCAAACCTCACCATTAATGGACAACTAGTTGTAACATCTCGTTTAGTAAATCTTTTTTTTTTGAATTAAGATCAATAATTTTTTTGAAACCAACTTTTCATAGAATTTGGCCAGAAACTATGATGATCCTTCTAGACGCTAAAGCAATTATCATGGGCATAAGTATAATAACATTCATATGTTTCTCTCTCATCTTTATAAACAGCCTGAAATGATAAGAAAAGATTAAAAAGCACAACTAAAGTGTAACTAAAGTGCAACTAAAGCACAAATAAAGCGTAACTAAGGCACAACTAAAATGCAACTAAATCGTAATTAAAGTACAACTAAAGTGCAGATAAAGTACAACGAAAGCGTATATTACTTTTACATAAAGCGCAAGAACTGTTCATCATCTTTTTCTTTACAAATCCTAAAAACAATGATGTTATTCTTCATAAAAACACTGATGAAAGCTAAACAATAACATCTAAGAGCTTTTTCATTTTTCTGCCTAAACAATGATGTTCTTCTTCCTAAAAACACTAATGAAAGCTAAACAACAACATCTAAGATCCCGAGCCTCTAATAAGCTGAAACCTATGCCCTTTTTCTACACAACACTGCTTTATTTACAACTTTTTAGCTCATTTTTCTATAATACAACTTGCGATGAGATTGAAACTTACTGATATGTTGAAACTTGAGGAAGTTCCAGCTAAGTTAGCATCCGATTCATGCATCCCTTCCGATTTATACACCCCTTCCACCTCTCTCTTCCATGAGCATTCTATCTCTTTTATGTAATTTTCTAGCCCATTTTTTCTTCTAAAGCAATTAACATTTAGATCTTTCATGGGTTTCTAAAATAGCGACAAAGTTTAAAATGAAAATAAAGTGGACCAGGTCGGATCGGGCTGAATTATATTAAAGCAAATAGATTATATTAAAAAAATGACATATGTATTCAGCCAGATGTCAACATTCTATTGGTGTCCGAACGCAGAGATAGGTCTGATGATTAGACCTAATAATTTGCTATTTTCAAGAGCGTTGGAGTGAGAAATCATGGGAATAATCTAGCTCACGGGGTGGGAACCTTAGCGAGAGTTCTCCGACCATAATTTTCCTTACAGAGAGCACAGACGCGGAAGATGTTTGACCGCGGTAGAGGAGGAGAGCTTGCGGGGAGAGCACATTAGGAAGAAAGGATTTCGCCGAATAGAGGTTTCAACGAAAAAAGATGGAGTGAGGTGTGGGTGAGATGGCATGATAGATTTGAGGTTAACCGCTATTTTGGGTGGTAGAAATAAAATAATAGAATTTTAGATGTTAGATATGTAATATACCTTATAAATCCAAGGGGTGTGAATTTCGAGTCATGGGTCAGGTTCGGGTCGAACTCGAAACTGACCCAACACTATTCGGTTTGGGTCAACCCCACCCGTTTTTGCAGACGGGTCGATTTTTCGGACTCGAACCCGACCCGCTTTGGGTTCGGCCCTTCGGCATTTTCCACACCGCCACACGCGATTCGGTCCTCCAGCAGCAAGACACAGTAGCGGTCGCTGGCGGGGCAACACGGCGAGCAACGCGGGGCAATGTGAAGATGGCGATGTGACTCGTGCAAGCGGCCATGTGACTTGGGCTATCGGGCAGGCAAAGTGCATCACGCGCGGATACTAGACTCGACGTCTCGAGTCTCAACCCTCTGCCTGAAGCGGCGAAGCGATTTGACGCGGACCATGCGATCACGCGGGCAGCCGGGGCACCCAGGGCGAGCAAAACGGGGCAGCAGGCAACCGGGGCAGGCAACGCAGGGGTGGAGCTGTGGGCAGACAGGGCACCCATTTTTCGGGTCAACCCGAACCTAACCCGGTTTTGCAAATGGGTCGGTTTTTCGAACCCGAATTCGACCCTCTTCAGGTTCGGGTTAACCCAAATCCGAAATTTTTGGGTCGAGTTCGGATTGGATTTTTAGGTGGGGTCCAATATTGATAGGTTTAATAAATCCCCCTAAAAGAAAAAAAGAAGAGTAAAATCTTAAGACCTTTTGGCGTTGGCGCTCGCACAAGGTAAATTATTGCATCCGATCACTGGACACGGTAATAGGTTTGGATATTAATAAAATATTATTTTAAATTAAGCATGTCAAAGACGTAGGTAAAGCACATGTCAAAGCGTAGTCAAAAATACAGATAAAATACAGTCAAAGCATAACTAAAGAACAAATAAAAAATAAGATAAATTTTTATTGGAGGTCTGAACCTATATTTTCTGCTTCCGTGAACCGGATGCAATAATTTGCCCCCGCACTGCCCACAGCCACGCTTCTTGGATCCTCCTCCGCCGAGGCCTAAGCGGAGCAAGTCTTTCCCCTTCAAGGGGTTATACGCTTCTTCAAGGGGCCATACGTTTCCTCGGGCATTTAGTCGAGGAAGCGCATTTACAGGCCTCCGAACATGACCGAGGAGAACAGACTTTCGAACCCTAAGGTGTATAGTCGTCTCTTTCTACCTAACCCGTTTTCTTTCCCTCCTAATTTTTTAAGCTCAAATTCCATTTATTGGTCGTGCAGAAATCGTATCCCTTCTTTGCTATTTCGAATACTGACCAGCTCGGGCCAAGTTTTGGCTTCTTCGGGGCACCCCAGAAACCGCCTCCGCCTCTACCTTCATGTGTCGAAGTTTCTCTCTTTGAGGTCATTTCGTGTTTCCTTAATACTTCCCACCTTCAATATCTTAGAAGTATAGATACTTGAAGCTCGTTTTTTTTTTTTTTTTTTTAAATTTTATTTGCATTTTCCTAGTAGCCGGAATATGCCATTAAATCACATACAGAGTCCATTGTTGTCTGTGATGGGGATCGTAAGGTTACCCTTCTTAAGGTCAGTGCGTGTTTCAACATTTTGGGTAAGAAATTGCATAATTTGGTTAGATATACACCATGGAATTCCTGATTTTTATCATCTTTTTTGGTATCTGCCAGGGAAGAGTTAGTACTTCTGATGTGTTTGGGGTTTCGAACTCTGATCTAGTACCAGGGAAGTACGAAGGTGACCTCTACATTTTTATTGATAGATTTTCCTGCCATATCTGAGCTGACTGATTTCGGAAGCATAAGAAGTTAGTCTTTTATGGAACATAAAATTGGCTTTGTTTTTTTTTGTTTTTGTTTTTTTTTTCGTTTTGATTTTAGGAGGTTTGAAGCTGTGGGAAGGTTCAATTGATTTGGTGAGGACTCTGCACGCTGAGATTGAAGAAGGGAGATTAACTGTTGAAGGCAAAAGGGTATTAGAGGTGAGCTTGTTTTTATTGAGCTCTGTTGTGATTAACTTGTTCTATGACGATCATAGTTAAAATAAAAATAATTATGCTTCAGACCTTTGTGTTTATTTTTTGAACAGTCTCCCAGAGCATGAAATAAGTTTAAGTATCTGTGTGGTAACTTGACATGGAAGGCCAAGGAGTATTGCTGTTTCTATAATGCTACATTCTTAAAAATCGTTTTATGTTAAAATCTGTGATGCCCTCCTTGGTAAATTTACCTACATGGACTTGGTTTGAAATCTGTGTCATTTGTATGGTAGACTCGCATATGTTTTTTCAAGTATTTAATAGGTAGGTAGTTGATGGGTCCTTTCAGATAAACTCATAAAGTGTGAGCCCACCAGGGAGCTCACCCTAGGACCATAAGACCTAACACGGTAGGGGATTCTAAAGGGAATCTCACCTCACGAATGAAAGTAAGAGTTCTCGTGGATTTCTAAAGGATCCTCGTGGATCACTCCATCTGCCACTCATCACTATTCGTGATGGAATGCCGCCAACTATGCTCGTCATCTCAGCTGTTGCAAGGAATCCATTCAAGAGAGTTCCAACTCTTCCATTATTATTAGTCGACCATGGAGGTTGTCATCCTTGCAACCTAAACATACTCACCTCCTTATTTGAGGTGATTTGGAGATCCACCACAAGTCGCCGATGTCCTCGGGACATTAGCCATCTTCAACCCTCTCGATTTAACACTCGCTAGTTGACTCACCCACACTTATGTCGACCTTCTGATGCCCGATTAGGAGAGTAGATCTATTAGATTTGGCTTATGTTAAGAGAGGTAGAGGTAGACCTAAAAATACTGTGAGAAAATATTAAAAATGACTTTTTTAATTAGATTTAAATGAGAATTTGACTCTTAACATGACACAATGGAGAAAAAAATGATTTATTTAGTTGGCCTCATGTAGTGGGACAAATTCTTGATGTTGTTGTTGTAGGGAACTCACACTTTCCCTCTAGACTAAGTAATGAACTCGCCCATCCAATATGCTCTCATGACCTGGGTGCTTGGGGAACTCGCATAGGCGAGTTGGGCAATCGATAGGCTGCTAGTCATGCTATTTGCAACCCTTGGGTGAGCAAATATATGCTGTAATTTCGTTCACAAGGTAGAATGACTCGACTCTATAATATTAGAGAGTGATTGACTGAGGTAAGAACTTGCCTAGTTCTTACTTAGGTTCAAGTTAAAAATCAACGTAGATTACTTCCTATAGCAGAGCCGAGACTCCTAGGCACAAAGACTTATACGAGAGCTAAAGCCTCTAACAAAAGGAATATATCCTCTTAAACAAAGTCATCTCTCTATTCTCTACCAAATTACTCTGTCGAGTTATTTACAAATTCTTGAGAAAGCTTAAAGAACTCGTCTCTTGGGTATATATATATATAAAGAAGAGAGGAAGAATCATGATGAATGGTAAAAAGAAACAAGATATATATATATATATATAAAGAAGAGAGGAAGAATCATGATGAATGGTAAAAAGAAACAAGAAAGCAAGTTCCTGCTATATATTCGCCAAAATATAACTCTTATTTAAAACAAGCATTTTACACTAACTCGCATTATACATTACATGTATGAATTATCAATATTAAACTGATGCATTCTCATATCATCTAGCCTCGCCTTATAGGCCTACTTCCTTGTTTGTGACAAGGTAAGCAATAAGTAGATAGCCCCCTATAGCTAGAGACTCTTAGTGGTTTCCTCCAAAGAGATAGAAAAGTCTGGCGTAAGATGGGGCCGACTAATGGCGACGACAAGTTAACCTATGGACTGAGTCCCTTTTTTTCGAAATGATTCATGTTGGATGGCGTGTGAGTTCCCTAAGTTTTGTTATTCCAAGGAGTCAGTATAAGAAGTGATATATTTGGCGCTAAGGAGCAATTGCCAGTACAAAGTCTTGCAGCCATATGAGTCCTTTAATTAGAGGGAGGTTCTGCAATCCTGGAGGACCAATCGTATGGATTGAAAAACGCTAGTTTAGCGATCAAAATGTATACCACAAGCAGATTTCCATTAATGTAGAAGTCATTGTATAGAAATTGCAATAATATGCATGTGTAACACATAAAGGCATAGTTATCACTCACTTGGTTACTAGTAATTGTTCTTGGCCATTTCCTCCAAAAAATCATAAGCTGCCTCTTACATTTTGTTGATAAATTTGTTGCTAGATGCAGCATCACTCAACATCTGTGTATGCTCAACTAGACAATTGTAAAAAGTTTGGGCTTGCATCCACTGGGATAATTCATGGTGCAGACACTTTCATTGCAAATCCTTTTATCTCTCTCAGGCATCATAAAGTTTCTCCCCGTCTAATTGCACAATTTTTACCTCAATTCTCATGCGGGCTATTTTCATTGGTGGAAAGTATTTGAAAAGGAATTTCTGTGCTATATATCATCTCAATTAGTGAAAGAATGACTTGGTAATGAATTTACTCAGCTCTTGGCTCGATCACGTGGAGAAAATGGAAATAGCCATAGTATGATGGAATTATTAGAAACACCCTTATACGTGAAGGTATCGCATGTCTCCAAAAAGTTGGTGATATGATCATTTGGATTTTCTTACAAATTAAGAGCTCTGAATCATTTGCAGAGTCACTACCTTGATCTCGAAATTGTTAGCCTGGATCTCAAGCTTGATGATGACCTTGGGAATGTCATAGACTGTATGCAGCATGTAATCTCTTAAGGCTCGGACTCCTATGGTCAGGCCTGTTGTTCCGTCCTATTGCGGCATAGAAAATTATATAGAACTAGTAGCTTGCCTCTGCTTTTTGATTTTCCTCAAGAACATCTCTATAATGTTGGCTAACCACTATAACGGTGCATACACTAGTGTCATTATCTGAAAATGATAAAGAAAATTAAAAAGCAAAATGGAAAACGAACATGTTCGAAGTAGATAAAACTCAAATTGGTATCAATATTTACAAATACAATTCCCAACAATAGTGCCAAAGACTTATCAGGTCTAAAAGTGTACACCAGATTACGTGGTTATATAAGTAATAAAATTATGAGTAATCAAGTACTGCCTTATAAGGATATTAACAACAAAGTTTGAAAATCAGGTTGGTTTCACACAATTTGAATAGTCATCAAATTGGGATGGAAATTTGTGATAATATTTAGAAAAATGAAATAATCTACTTTTAAGATACTATATGAATAAGGAGTATTTAGCTATGGCGATCAGATGACTAGGCTTAGGGTTTGAAATTTAGAAGGGTTCTTTATCAGGATTCAATTGCAATATAATTAATGAGTTATTTAAAATATATTGTAATTAGATTGATGTTGAAATCTTCTTTCTTGTGAAAGTTTATGATCAATAACCTCTTAGCATAAATTTCCTCTCTCTTAATGGTAGATTCAATGTCTAGAAGGTTTTCGTTATACGATGTATACAATTTATCACATTACACAGGTTCACACAAATATCTTTAATCTATTTTTTATTGTGGTATTTCATCCAAGATGAATATATTCCTCATCTCTCGATTTCGGACGAAAGTTCTAAACTTTTAAGTGGCGTCCAATCAATTATTAGTCATGAAACAGGGGATAAAAAAAACTCAGTAATAAGAATGAAATACAAAAAGAACCATGATTGTATTAAATCGAATCCATAGAAATTTTATGGATTATATCTAACCTCTAAAAGAAAGTTTAGCTCATGATATTTTGAAAGAACATAAGGAAATACATAATAAATACATGAAGAAAGAAGAAAGAAAAAACTCTGAGGGTGTAGGTTTCACTTCTCACTGTCAAAATCTCCATCTTCCTTGCCTTAGATGTTGCCGTCGAAGTGTTCTCTCTCTCTAAAAAGACTCTCCAAAAGCTGTTGGAAATTCTCCTAAAATCTTAAAAACACCTTGTAAATTTTTCGTAAAGAATCTGCTTTCAAAAATGTAATTTTGGGCTTTTTATTTGGGCAAAATGGGGCAAGTGCCTCTTGTTGCGCTTAGGCGCTAGGCTCTCTATGTTCATGCTCCAAAAATCCAATTTTGCGCATTGAGATGGTCTTTCGAAAATGTGTATACAGTCTATGTGTTGTTCTCTTTTTTTTGCGGCTAAAAAATTTCAGATTGAAGGTATGGGCGCATGGGAGCCCATGCGCTATGCTATTCGCTAGGGCTCACAAGCTTTCAATGGTGCTCATTTTTGCTGTTTGTTTAAATGGATCCAAAATGCTCATTTTGCTCCTTATGAACATAGATGTCGTCAAAATTCTTGCTCACATATATAAATGAAAATCTTTTCATTAATATTGTAATGCCCTCAAAATGTTTAAAATAATGTAAGCTTCAACTTACTTAAAATGTTAAGTTATTTTCATTAAATTTTACTTTTAATTCCACGCACTTTACCTAAATTAAAAGCCAAATAACATGTATTTGCATTCAATATTAATTAAACTTAAGTATATGAAAGTTAATTTATACGGAATTAAATTATGTAGCATTACAACCATTTAAAACTTATTTAAATGCGTTTTACTGTAGCCTCAACTAATAAAGGCATGCAAAGGCTGATTTCTGAATGCTGTAATCAAACGGTTGAGAGGGCTTGACAAGACTTTAGTGGAAAGTTATTATTTTTTTTGAAGAAAAAGCCGGAGCTTACTTATATTACCAATAAAAAATAAAAAGCACCTGCAGCAATTCTCGCTTTGTAGGATGAAAGAAGAGATTCATCAACATTAACCTTTAGCCATTTGGGTGGAGGAGGATGCCAAGTATTAGACAATTTGATTGACTTATTAACATCCCAATAGCCCAAATTAAATTGACTAAAGTTATGTGAAACCGAAGCATGGCAAATAGCATTAGAAGCTATCAAACTAGGATTGTCCTCCACACCTTCATGAATCATCTTGTTTCTACTTTTCCAGGAAAGGAATACTATATTGCAATACATGTTAACCATCATACTTT